ATCATATTACGTTGATAGTAAATGTGAGGACGAATCTCTGATCAGAAACCGTGGCACAGTTGGAGCTCTGAAGGTGGAATCCCGTTAGGGACTCAAGTGCTTTGTAAAGAGCCACAGTCACCCCTTCTCCCTTGTTGCATTCTACCCTCACGTAAAACCCTCTTTCCTCTACTTGAAATATATCCATCTGTAAAAGAAACCATTTCATTATCTGCAGCTAGCCTGTTGTATTATATAATTAATTAAATACAGATAAGAATTATTAATATATTATATTCTAATTAATTGTGAACAAAACCTTGAGTATCTGCCTACAAACTGGATGATGCTTCTTCTGTGCAAACGCTTGCTTTGTCTTCKTTGGGCTGTCGACGAYCAAACTCTGATATCTTTCTTCTCCTTTGAAGGATGACTCAAGCTCTGCTATTTCTGCTCGTAGCTTATTAGCTTGCGTTTGCAGCTCTTGCACATACAACACTGCATCTCCTACAATGGATGCCTTGTCCATCTGCATTAGTTGAAAACTGGTCAAGAACCATTGTTGGTTTGTTACTACTCATGACTCAGCTCATGAGTACTCAGGTTATATATATGTTAGATTTTGCGAGGAAAACAGAAAATGTATATGTGAGATGTGTTAGACAGAGAGCCAGACCGACGGACCGACCTTAGTGATGTTAGGAACCAAGGAGCGCAATGCGTAGAGCTTCTCCTTCATTCGACTTCTCCTCCTCCGCTCAGAAATCAACGATCTCGAACGGTCGCCTACGCCTTTAGTCTTCTTCGGTTTAGTTGTTGTGGTTGCTGCAGTGGAATCATCATCACCATCACCATCACTTCTCTCCACATCTCCACTGAAAGGTGGTAATGGCAAGAAAATGGAGTTTGGATCTGAATTACTTATGGAGTTGAAAGCAAACATGTCTCCCAAGGTGGTGTGGTCGAATTGCCGGCTGTCTACGAACCCATCATCGAATAGGAGCTCTGCATCATAATTAGAGTTGAAACCAGTGATGGGATCTGCATTTTCTCCTTTGATGAGACTGATAAACTGCTCAAAGTTTCCATCGTCAATGAAATCATGGAAGCCAGAGTCACCAAATTGGGCTTGAGGAATTTGAAATGCTTGACTCTCCATTTCTGGGCTTTTAACTTTTTTATTCTTCCTTTCCTGTTATATATGGATGTCAGGAGATTTAATTTACATGTTATTATTAGGAGGGTATACATTCATGTCTCTCTGTGTGAACGGAATCAAATGGGCTTTCTGTGGCTGTGACAGTTAATATATATTAAATAGTAAAGGGTTTGCAACCTCATTCAACTCCATTGAAATAAAATACAAATCGAAACTATTTAATGTTATCATGTCCATTATCTACCTGAGTATTATGTCATTTGAACTGTAGGATGGAAACCCAATGGTCCCAAATTAACGTTCATGAACTTAGCCACTTGGCTTCAAAAAATAAATAAATAAATAAATAAAAGGTCCCAAACGTTAGATTGAGCTTCTTAATTTAGTATATATTCTTATAGATTAAGTAGAAAACTTCATCAGTTATGTAGACAATTCTAATGTCCTTGTGTCATTTCATTTACTCTACTTCTGAAAAAATATTTCAGTAAGTGCTGATTCTCCCAAACCTTAGAAGGAAGGAATAGTTTATATAAACCAAATCAAAGAATCAGGTTGAGTTCAATGAACCATGCATTAATATTAAAATGAGGATGGGTCTGTTGATCATGTTTTTTTATAGAGCACCAACAAACCCAGGAATCTTCCAGCGCCCATATGGTTCGGGGTAGTCTTAACTAATACAGGATAATTACTGGAATTTTCTTTTCCTCTATCCTGGAAAAGAAAAGAAAAGATTATACATGATTAATGGCGGTCATACTGATAATTGTCATCGAGAAGCTTGTTTGAGCCATAATTAGGGGGTGCATGCAACTAAGGCGGGTTGGGTTGGGTTAAAGGTCTCAGGCCAGGTTTAGTCAAGCTCGAGTGGATTGATTGGGTTTAAAAGAATTTATGTTTGTAGTTTCACTTTGGGATAATAGCTTATATGGGCAACTTTTGGGCCTACTATCAGTAAAAGTAATATTTAAAAAAAAAAATTAAAAATAGGGTAACTTGAAAAATAATATCAATAAAAGGCAGAATCACTGCTCATCTTCTTTCTCTTGCAGTCTATTCACCAGCACCGCCGATCGCCACTGTCGCCTGCCACCACCTCCGGCAATGCCTCTGCCTGTCTCCGCCCACCTCCACCTCCGCTTTTGGCAACGTTGCTGGAGGTGGGCGGAGGCAGAGGCAGCGGCGGCAGCGCTGGTGGTTATTTCTTTGCCCAACCCCACCACCTCCACCCACCAGCGCCGCCGCTACCTCTGTCTCCACCCAGGAGCGCCGCCTCCTCCACCCACCAGCAACGTTGCCGGAGGTGGGTGGAAGTGGTGGCATTGGACAAAGAAATAACCACCAGTGCCACTGTTGCCGTCTCTGCCTCCGCCCACCTCCGGCAACGTTGTCAGAGGCGGAAGTGGAGGTGGGCGGAGACAGGCGGCGGCACCGGTGAATAGACTACAAGAGGAAGAAGATGAACAATGATTGTGCCCTTTATTGATATTATTTTTTAAATGTTACTCTATTTTTGAAAATTTTTTTAAAATATTACTTTTACTGATATTAGGACCCAAAAATTGCCCTTATATGCTATTATCCCATATTTTGCATAATCATCATCTATTCGGCTTCATAGTCTAATTTAAAAGTAGGCTTCATTTCATAATCCAATCTTTGTGTATACTGTGTAGTTAGAAAAAAAAAAGATAATTTCATATAAATAAAATGCACATATGCACAAGCGGGCTCAGGTTGGGTCAGGCCTGGGTTCAGTTGGGAGGCTGTTTAGCTCAGGCCAGCCTTTATTGAAAACTTAAGCCCAACATATACAGCAGTTTGGGTTGGATCAGATTGATCAGCCCAAATTTCAACCTTATTTGGAATGGTTGTCCTTTGTTAAGTAGTATCTCTGATTTTTTTTTTTTTTTCTTTTTGATGGATATCTCTGAGAGTAATTTGGTAAACAAACAAAGACAATTGGGATTGTCCCTCTAATTTATACATCCTTGGGATCAGATCCCACCGTCCTGTGACATAGGCTCATACTGCGAGGTTGAATGGTTGTGGGTTTCATATATTTTAAGACTTGTGTAGACACTGTGGAGTCTTAACATTGGTTTCAGAGCCCGCTGCACAGCTAATCCCATCATGTATTTTGAAAACTACATGATGGAACAGGAACATAATAAATACTTCTTGACAAAGCTTTTAAAAATAAGTTGAAACTTTTGGCTTATTTAAAAGGAACTTATTTTCTTGAATAAACACCTATTCGACTTTTTTTCAAACACAAATAAGTGTTTGTTCCAGAATAAAATAAGTGATTCTAAATAATCACTTCCAAACAGGTAATATTTTTTGAGATGAGAAATTTGAGCTTAAGCAGTCACGGTTATAAAGGTAATATTTTTTGAATGTGTACAATGAAGATTTGAATCCCATAATATATACAATAAGTAATATTTACAAAATTTAAATTTAATTTATAAGTTCTTAACCATGCAATAACCGAGTGGTGGCTCAGTTGGCACGTACCTCGGTAAGCCCCATACGAGATGTGGTTTCGAGCCCTACTATTAATGGTTGCAAATCCACCTTTGAGAAGAGTTTAATATTACTAAATAAAAAGTGTGGTACTATGCCATGGAAATTGAATTACGGCCCCCATGGGGGCAAAGGCAAATAATCAATGTCAAAAAAAAAACATATTAAGTTATTCAATTTAATCAATAAAGATAATATAAGTTTTAAAATGTATAATATATTTATTAAAAATTAAGTTTTCAAATAATATGCTTTTTCTTTGTGAAGGAGGAGAGTAAAGAAAGTACAGGTTTTGTGGGTAAACCCTGGAATCGACTTTGAAACCATCAAGGCCAGAACTAACCTTCACAAAGTAGGTTCCGGTTCCAAAAACCTAGAACTGATCCCTATGCCATGGAACCAAATTGAACTGGTCCATGCTCACCCCTTTTAGCTATATGGACTTGGGCCAAGTGTATTGAATTAGGGTTGCAAATAGACCGGATTGGATTCAAATAAGGGTATATTCGAATCCGATTTGACACTATTCATGTCGGATCTTATTTGATCAGATCCAAAGATCCGATCAAATCTAATAGGACTTTATCTGAATTTGAATCCTATTGGATCTTCCGATCTGATTTGATCTAACTTGTTTTCTTTAAAAATTAATAAATTATTAAAAGAAAAATAAAATACTCTAAATTAAATAAAGAAAAAAACAAAAATACAAGTATTTTTTAATTATTTTCCTCATATATATACATGTTTTTATAAAAAATAAATAATATAACAAATTTATAAAAATACAATATAAATAATATATTTATAAATAAATAAATAACATATATATATGTATTATATATATTTATAAATAAATATATAATACATCGGATCAGATATTCTCGAATTGGATAGGGGTGATTTGAATCCGATCCGAAGATCTGACCAGGGGTAATCCGAATGTGACCAAATTTGATCGGATTGGATTTCGGACCAAATTGGATCACGATGCGGTCCATTTGTACCCCTATATTGAATACGGACCTGATGTTGGTCATTTTATCCCAATACAGACAGACCTAATGCAGATTTCTGAATTCCACTGTATATCTATAAACATTCAATGTCAAAATCCCCACTCTATACACTAATGTCTGTCCGTGAATTAGCATAGTTCCAATCTGGCACTACCCCCCACTCGCCTGTCCGTGAATTGGCATAGTTCCGATCTGGCACCTATTTCAACTGTAATTTGGGCCTAAAATATCTGACCCTGGGTTGAACCGTCTTTCTCCCTCGGTCGGTCGGTCAGATTCAGATACTTCCAGCTTCCAGGTTCGGATCATTTTCAGATTTAAAATAGGTTCGGACGAGACTCTGACCCTTGCTTCGGGAAGCCGTTAGGACTACCGAATCTCTCTATCTCCGCCATTTTTCTTTTCTTTTCGCGTTGTTCTCTTCTTTTGCTCTTTTCCCTCTTCGATTCAAACTCTCTTCTTTTCCATTTCTCTCACTGTACCATGTGAAAATCCATGCTCCCCGTCGTTCATCACAGACACAGGAGGCGAGATTACAATACTCAAAAAGAGAAAGAGAAAAAGAAAGGAAAAGATAGAGAGAGGAGAGAGAGAGAGAAAAAAAAAAAGATTACCGCTTTCTTGATCCCTCTCCATGGAAGACTTTTTCTCTCTTGATTCCGAAAACTGTGAACTTACAGGTACTTCTCATTCTATTTATTCATAATTACATCTTCTTCTTGATTCGACATGGGTTCTACGCTTTCCTCCAAATTTGTTTTCTTAATAAACCTTGAAAAAAAACAGTTTATTTCCTATGATTTCTTTTCATGTTCTCATTTTTCGTAATTAAACGTTTACGTGATTCTTAACTATATCTGGATTCTGTAAGGCTACATTATTGATTATCTTCTAGGTATTGTCTTTTTTTTTGTTCCTTCCTCATCTTTCTAGGGTTCATTTTGGAACCTCATCAATCAATTACCAATTTAGGGCCAGGGTTTGTTAGGAGTGACTGGGTTCTTTAATTGGTCTGAGTATCAGAGAATACGAAAGGAGTGAACATGGTCAAGAAATCTTTGGGAAGCGTTGTAAAGAAGAGGCTCTCTGATATAACCAACTTCCAGAATCGAGTCAGTTCTCCGGGCCAAGATGACAAGCCTATTCCCATTTCTTCTGTGACCAAGGACTACATCGACAAGCTCCGCAAGGTATTTCCTGTAATGATTTTCTAGACTCTTCTTCCTTCTCTCGGTTGTCGGTATACTCTAGTTTACAGGGTTTTCTTCTTCTCAAATTCATCATCCCAGGAGAACGCTGTACTGATGCGGCTTCTACAAGACCGAAAGTATCCTTTTCCATGAATAATTTGTTTCGACCTGTCTTGCTTCATCTTAATTGGAAGCAAACTCTCATCTTTAATCTATTCGTTGTTGCAATAAGACTCATTTTGTCTTCTTTTGTGGGTTTTTCTTAATTCTGATTTATAGCAAAATCATCGAATTGAGTGGATTTGAGTTGCAGAAACTGCGAATGAACTTGCGGAAATTGCAACAACAAAATTGGCAACTTGCTCAAGCAAACAGCCAGATGTTAGCAGTCAGTTGGCTCCATATAACCACTCTCAAAAATCATTATGTTTAAAAATAATTGGGTTCTCTCTTTTACATAAGTTATTAATTAAACCCTCCTTATTCTGCAGGAACTTAACTTGGGCAGAGACAGGGTAAGATTCTTAACGACAGCCATGTTCTGCAAAATTATAATCCATGGTCTTTCGAAAGCTTCATCAAAGTCTTCAAGTTTTATTGTGTCTGCTAATTTGTAATTATTCATTTGCAGCTTAAAGCCATGCAGCATGAGCTTGGATGTAAGGAAGCCCTGCTTAAAGCAAAGAATTCGGAGTTGGAGGTTTGTTCCTCGATGTCTTTGTTCTTTTACTTTCCTATGAGTAATGCTACGAGTACAAGACAGTTTCACAAATAAATTCTTCTTGTTCTTACAGTACAAGACATGTCAAAAGACTAGCAACGAGGTATTACAGGAAAACCCCTTGATGATTTGTTTACTACTTTTTCTAGATTTGGTCTTGTTTCCGAGCTTTCTTGTACCCTCAACCTCTTACAATCCAGGAGAGTACAGTTAAGCGTGCGGAAGCAGCAGAAGAAAGCTTACAAGATAAAGATGATAATAAGACTAGTAATCCTACTAGGAGGCGCCAATCAAGGATTCAATGTAGTCACTCGAACCTAAATCTATTACTAACTTCAACATTTATGGTTTTATTTGTTCTTGTGTAAAATTCTAAAGCTCTCAATTATGACTTGCAGCTGCAGGTCCTGCTGGGACACAAGTAGCTTCAAAAGAGAAGGATGACAACAAAAGGTTTGTGTCCCTATGTATTATAACATTTTGAGCCTATAGTTGAACCAAATATTTTCCTTGTTCCAAATAAGTTTGGTTAAATATACTTGTTCCATTCTTTAGCAGACTTTGTCTGAGAAGGCAATCCACTAGGTTTAGACAACTTGAACCTACTGAAGATTTGTTTGAGATTGAAGATGTTAAATTCCCAGTCCATCCACTGCTTGATGATCAAATACATGACGATATTCCTATTTCATCAAATTCACCAACCACAAAAGAGGAGGCAGAAAGAAAGAGTGCTCCAAAGGAAGAATTACGAAGATCATCAGTTGGAAGGCCCTTGCGCAGGGCTGTTGAAAAGGTTCAGTCTTACAAGGAAAGACCAGTTAAGATAAAATTGCGAAGATCTGAGTAACTGCAAACTAACTTGTTTGTATTGCAATTTGCAAAAGAGGGGTGTGAGCACCACCGGTGTCTGCATAATTCCCTGTGATATTATTTTTTCTGTAAAAGTAATGTGTTTTCTTTGTGGAAGTGTGAAATTCCAGCTAATTCAAATCTGGTCTTTCCTTTCTTTATCATCTGTGGGTGATCAAGAAACGCCAGACAAATAATTGACCAAAATTTCCCCATTTGAATAGTCTTCCGTAAACAGGTAAATTTCTGAAGGCAGCTGTTTTTCTTAATCTTAGGCTTTCTCTCAATTTTTCTTGGTATTTCTCCTTAAGCTGAACATAGTCAACCATTTGATGTTGAGAGAAGCTTTATCTCCAACCATTTGATGTTGGAAGGATGATTTCTAGGGAATATAGAACTTGAAGAACTGAAAGTATTTTATATTACATTTATGAGATGAATATTGAAGGATAAGCAACTTTGAAGTGAAATCCCCTCACAGAGTGTGCTCGCTAGATATCATACTAGGGTGTTTGGGAGATAGAAATTGGGTCAGGAACAAATCTTAACAAATTTTGTGAGTGAACAGGAAAGTTGTTAACCAATTTTGTGAAATGCCATGATAACTTTCTCTCAACCTTATATCTTATCACTCATTATGAATGAAAAAGGGAAAATGAAGCCAAAAGTTCATTTCTTGAAATCATGAACTGACCTCATTTCTGTAGGTGTTTGGCATCGGTGCTGGGTATATTGCACCGTTTCTGAGAAAAACGGTGCTGGGCATAAGAAAAGGGAAAATGAAGCCAAAAACTCATTTCTTGAAATCATGAACGACCTCATTTCCGTAGGTGTTTGGCATCAGTGCTGGGAATATTGCATCATTTTCAAAAAATGTTACTTTTTGTTGTGTAGGGTTGGGTTAGGGTTAGGCTTGGGGTTTAGAACTTAGGGTTGAGCTGGGGTTGGCCTCAACCCGGCCCAACTTGCTGTCCTACCCCCTGTTGTGTAGGAGTCCGGATCTCCTGCCCACGAAAACTCGTTGTGTAGCCCCATGAAGCGAAAAAAAAAAACAGAATAATACTCTGTCAGCAATGTCTAATGCAACCACCTCAGGACAGAAAACTTTTGTTCCTTTACCATGAATTGCGGGGGTTAACACTGTCTAACAAGTAAACATATTTTTTCCAAGGCCAATGCAATGTATGTAAGTAGAGGTGATCATGGCTTGGATGCAATGAGCCCGGTCCAGGCCTAGTACATGGTACAAGGACCTCTGAGGCTGGACCCAGCCAGTACACTGGGCCTGGAATATTGGCCGAGGTCTAGCTTATAGGGGCTAGGCCCTGACCTTTCTAGACTAAAAACATGATTATTTCAGGAAGGGCTACGCCCATAAGTTTGAGGTGTCGCACTACACATCTTGTGTGCAGGCCTAGTACAGGTCTTGGTTGTGCCAGGCTTTAAAGAAAAGCCAAAAGCCCAGGCTAGGAAATTTGTGGGCAGGACTTGCTGGGCTAGCAAATGTAAGGCTACAAATTGGGCTGATTTAGAGTTTGGACCAACCTAATCCTTCTTTTGGGGAGTAAAACTGGACAGAGTAGAAAGCATCATCTTTTCTTTTCTTTTTTCTTTTTTTTTTTAACTTTTGGAAATAGAAAATCTGACCCTTCCCTTGCCAAATCAATCTGTAACTCAATAAAGGAGCAAATCCCAGAAATATGCAAAACAAAAAAGCATCCAGATCCAGTAAAGTCCCATAATTCAAAGTTGGTTGTGAAACTGATAAACCTAGAAATACAATTATGCGGTGCATTTGCATCTAAGTGGGATTTTTCGGTCTTGCCCCCAAGTAATTGGAGTGAGGATGAAACTTGTAAGGGCTCAACCCAGACAAAGTTCAGCAAACCTACTGGACTAGAGTTTCATTGGATACTGGGTTGGGTTTATTAGATGGAGGCAATGCCAAAACTGGGTTGGGCTGGAGCAAGACCTCATTCAAACTACTGCTGGTAGACTAGTCATATTGTTTGCTAGATCATGATTTGATTGTATGAAATAGCCATCTACTGAATTGGCGTTCCCTCATCCAGGAGTCCAGATCTGTTCCTCACAGAGCATTCCTCACGTCAACCTCATAATTCGTTCCAATCGTACATCAGGAACATTTTCCATACTTGTGCGTTGATATTCATGGGGAGATATTCCCAATACACGGAGGGATGTGCTATGAGATCGGTGTAAGGTGTGTTCTTTGAGGAACAAATCCTGATTCCTCATCCGGTGTCAGTCTCCTGACAACCCTAGCGTCTATATCAAAACAGAACACCGAAGAAGTATCTTTTCTAATGATTCCATATGGAGGGCAGTGATCTACCATTGAACATAAAACAACATTTTCTATTCAGCCCTATGAACCACTATAAAGATATATCTTCTTTTTGGCTAATATATAAATAGTTATAGCACGTCTGTTTCCCAGAACCATCTTTCTTTTTAATGGCACAAACCGGTTGCACCAGTGTGATGTGTGAAGAATGTTAGAATCACATGCGCTCTACATCACATCCCAACCGTACACTGAAAACACCTCCACGCTGAGATGTTCATGTTGGGCACGCTTTGTGGATAGCCCATCTGAACCTGAACACCAGAATCACACTGAGATCGGCTTTGGTCAGGGTAAGCCCAACAGCCTCTCGGGAATATCTCTCCATGAGTAGAGTAGGGAGATATTCCCAATGCAAAGATGTAAAGGCTGCTCAAAAACGCCCTGACGGAAGCCAAACTCCAACACACTGGATTTTGGTTGATTTATAGGTTCTCCTAACCCTAAAAAGACTAACCTAGGCAGAGTCACTGTCAGTTGGTGAAACTGAAGGCTAGAAGGCTAGAAGGCTAGGAGCACTGTTGTTTGAGTTTGAAAACTCAATTTGAATCAAGAAATGAGAATAATTTGATGAACTGGGTAAAAGTCTAGCCTCCTGGATGCATTCATATTGGCTCTGTAACTGTAACCCACTTTAATTAACTTTTTCACTTGGTAATCCGAACCGCGACCGAGTTAATCAGGAACTCAACTAACTTGACTTGACTCGCTCAATAGTAGAAGACTAGAAGGGGCATCATCAGTGGCCCATGATGTTGCTTTGATTGATCATCTTCACTGCTCCCTTGATGATCCTTGAAAAGGAATCAACTATATTACGTGTTCATTCCTCCGGTCCACGTCAATCTTATGAGTTATGACCCATCACCCATCATTCATCTATCAAAACCGTTGAAATTGCTCGGGTTTTGTTTGAAAGAAAATAGAGTTTTTCTTTTTCCAACTAACTACAGTGCACTGCACTAACAGAATATTTGCAACATGTTAAATCAATCAAGTTAAAGATGTCACATACGTTGTATAATTTTCATTATTTCATCAATTTTAACAATATTTTGCTTCATCACGTGTTCATGGACCATGCATTTTGCTAAATGTCAAAGAATGACAGTTGTTGTAAAAATAAAACTAAATTGTCTCTTTCATCCATCATATCTAAATACTTGAAAAAAGAAAAGAAAAAAAAAAGGCTTTAAGCTAATAATGAGTTATATATACTGAGTATTAAGGACTATTTATACCCATGATTTGATAGTTAGACATTAGAGTTTGGTATTTAAATTTGGCCCAAGTAAATGGTTAATAAAATACCACAAAAATTGTGGCTTGTGGCTTGTGATAGTAAATAGCTTTTTCCCTGTTGAGGTAGACCATAGACAGTACTTGTGGGCTGTGGCCAATGTTGACGTTTCTCTCAACATTTCAAAAGCATTTCTCATATATAGTGAAGGGGGATTTGACTTCCAATCAATGTAACATGGGCCTCCTTACTCTGTTGTCCTCGTGGGGCCGTATGTTTTTTCCATTTTTTTTTTCTTTTCTAATCTATTCGGTTAAATTGTTCTGCTATTCCTGTCCAACGTGATCAATACCGGCTGATACACCGTCGGTCCTTTTTTTTTACCCTCCCCTGAAGTATCTGACAATCATAAAAACCTATTCTATGGTTTCATTTTAATAAATACTTTCCTTGAATTTTTGAGAAATTCAACAAAAACTTCTCTTCCGCCACTGTCTCGGACGGAAAATGTTAAATTGATGCACCCGTTTTTTCTAATACCCATTCTATCCTTTTATAAATTATTTTACATACAAAATTATTGGAATAACCCCATTTTAACTCAACAAAAACCTCTTTTAACGATCATTTCAGTAATTTTACATACAAAATTACTGAAATATGTTTTCTTGTAGAGTTAAAATGAGATTATTTCAGTAATTTTGTATGTAAAATAATTCATAAAAGGGTAAAATGGATATTTGGAAAAAAACGGTGCATCAATCTAACGTTTTCCGTATAGGACAGTGATGGAAGGGAGTTTTTTATTGAGTTTCTCAAAAGTTCAGGGGAGGTATTTGTTAAAATGAAACTATAGGGGAGGTTTTTGTATTTTACCATTTTTTTTTAACTTTTACCTTTTTTTTTTTTTTATTTTGGTTCAAAGGGGCCGATTTAAGTCCCGATTACCCTCTGAACCAGGCCCTGACCCGAAACAACCCTTATAGAGGTGTATCGGGAAGGGTCTCTGATACAATACATATCGGTCGATAGGGGCTGATACATAACAATTTTTTGAACCTTGTTCCTGTCCTCACTTGCAACGGTTTGCAAGGATTGTTTTTTTATTGCTTAGAATTTAAATTCCTTCTACATGTTAAATTTTTAACTTGTTTTGATAGGGGAGGTTGTTATTAGAGCTGAAATGGGTCAGGTCTGGTTCAGGATGGGATGGACCGATTCCTAACCAATTATTGATCAATTCTATAAGATAGATCCAGAACCGAACCATTATTAACTGGGTTTGGGATAATCGGATCTCACCTGATTATATTTGACATCTATAATTAAGGTTGGTATTAGATCTGCTTAAGGGTTGGATCTGGTTCGGGAGTGGATCAGTCCTAAACTAATTATTGATTGGTTCCGTAAGACAAATCTAAAACCAAATCAATTATTATTGAGGACAATCAGGTCTGACACAATTATGCTTTTATAGTTTCCTATGATGCTAACAGCTTAAAACTTCTTCTTTAATAATATTTATATATTGTGTGGAAGATAAGTGCACTTATCAATGTGTTTTTGTTTTACAAGTAAAGTTAAATAATGACTGTTTTATCTATAAA